ATGCTGTGTTTTCATTTTCATTCATCAGGGAAGTTTTAAAGTGTCTTCCTGATTTCTATTCTAACCCGGTTTTCATTCAGCGGTGATCGTTCAGTTTCCGTGAGTTCGTAAGTTTCCTGTTGTTGTTGATCTCCATCGTGAATCCGTAGTGCTCCGACAGGATGCAGAGTGGTATTTCAGCATTCTTGTGTCTGTTGAGACTTTCTTTGTGACAAGTATTGTGATCAGTTTTGAAGACAGCTTCATGAGGTGCTGAGAAGAAGGAATATTCTTTTGTGCTTATATGAAGTGTTCTGTGAATATCTGATTGGTCTGTGTGATTAATAACATCATCCAGCTACAGCATTTCCCTGTTTGGTTTGTGTCTAGATGACCTATATACTGGAAAGAGTGGGGTGCTGAGGTCTCCCACTATCACTGTGTGAGGGTCAATATGTTATTTTAGCCATAGAAGTCTTTCTTTTAAAAATTTGGGTACCCTTGTGTTTCATACATAATGTTTAGAATAGCAATGTTCTCTTGGCAGACTTTTTTTTTCCTTTGAGTATGTAGTATCCTTCCCTATCTCTTCTGATTAGTTTTAGTTTGAGTCTGCATTGTCAGATATTAAAATGGCTATAACGGCTTGCATCTTAGGCCAAATTGCTTGGAATGTCTTTTTCCATTCTTTTACCCTGAGGTGATGTCTATCTCAATGGTAAGGTGTGTTTCTTAGATGCAGTGGAAAGATGGATTCTCTTTTTAAATCCAGTCTGTTAGTCAGTAACTTCTTAGTGAATTGAGACCATGGTTGTTGAGAGTTATGTTTGTGGATTACACTCTTTGTTGATTCCCCTTATCTCTGTGGGTTATTTTCCTCATCTTTTGATTTGATGGTCTAGGAATATTTATTCGTTTTTCTGGTTGAAGTTTCCTTCTAGTGCCTTTTATAGAGCTGGATTTCTAGATAAATAGTGCTTCAGATTGGCTTTATTGTGAAATGTTTTTCTATTGTGATTGAAATTTTTGTTGTATATGGTTGTCTGGCCTGTAGTCTCTTAGAGTTTGCAGAACATCTGTCCAGGCCCCTTTGGCTTTTAGAGTCTTCACTAAGAATCGGGTGTTATTCTAGATGGGTCTGCCTTCATATGTTACTTTGTCTTTCCCTTGCAGCTTTTATATTCTTTTTTTTTGTTGTTCTGTAATTTAGTGATTTGATGATTATGTATCATGGGAAATTTCTCTTCTGAATCAGCCTGTATGTCAGTCTGTGTACTTCTTCTACCTGCAAAGGTACCTCATTTTTTAGGTTAGGGAAGTTATCTTCCCTATTTTCTGTGCCTTTGATATATTTTTGTATCCTCCATTCATTCTTATTTGTGAATTTTCTCTTTTTATAGTGTCCCAGATTTTCTTGCTGTTTTGTACCTGGGTTTTTTATACATGTAATATTGTCTCCTAGTGAGGTTTACCTCTGAAATTTTTGTTTGAGTCCCAAATTTTCATTCTCAGTTTTATCTGTTTCACTTTTGTTTAATGAGTCTGTTTTTTTTTTTCTTTCACATGTTGAGCTGTTTCCATCATTTTATTCTACTGTGTCTAGCTGTGGGTTGCCTGATAGGAAGAACTTTCTGAGGCCCTGCTAGCTGTGGCCACTGGGAGTCCCTGGTAGAATGTGTTTCTAGGCACTGGGGGCTAACATAAAGGAATGGAGCCAGGCTAAGAAGGGGGCACTAGCGGGGTCCACAGAAAGAATAAAAGCTGGGTCTGCCGTAAGGTTGCTGACGAAGACAGGGAATGAAGTCATGGAGGAAGGACAGGCCCTTGGAAGTAGTCTCTGTGTATTGTATTTTTTTTAACCTTGCTTTTCTAACTGAATAGAACATCCATATCAGGCCAGAGAGTTCCACGGTTCTCACTAAGGAAGCCAGGTCTGCAGGAAGGTGCCCCGGAGCTCAGGCAGCGATTCCTCCCCTCCTGGTGTTAGAAGAGCTTGTATCTTGCCAACTCCACATTTGCTTTCCTGTTTCATACAAATATTTCTCTTTTCTGGATGCCTCACAAAATCTGACAGACTTCTCACAGATGGATATGATTTGATTTGATTTATGGCCACAGCACCACAATAAAAATTTGAGATCGAAGAGCACCATAATCACTTTCCTTGTGTCAGGGCTCAGGACACTCAGGAAGAGAGACAGTCCGCTTCACAGCTCATTCCAGTTACTGTTGCTACAGTAACCTAGTGGGCCAAGCCATGCAAAGGAAGAACCGGGCATTATAAGGCACAGAATGGCTGATGTCTTTAATGTGCTGTGAGAGAATCAGAAAAGACGACTGCATATGGCTAATATTTGAACTGAAGTCATGTTGATGAGGAACAGAGATCTGGAGATACAGAAGGAAGATGGGGGGATAGCATAGAGGTAGGGTGCTCCATGTCCAAAGGCCCTAAAATTGAAGAGAACACTGTGTTTCTGGAAAAAGAGGAAATCAGCTAAGCAAAGAGTATGGTATGTGGTGAGGTAAGAGTGTGTGGCACATTGCACCGTGCCAGACACTCAGCTCTTGAACTCAAGCCCTTGGGGCCCATCAGCAGATCTCCAGGATATCGGGCATATGGCCTGGTACTCAGGAATGGTTCTGAGTAAGAATGGAGCCTTGTAACTGTAAATCGTGCATGAAGTGTTAGATGGGGGCAGTGTCTGAGGGAGGAGGAGGGAGAATGGGGCCTCCAGAAGGTCTGAGATCCACCGTGGGCACCTCCTGTGGTATGAGTAAGTAGAGGAAGACGAGGGAGCACTAGACCTGAAATACAAACCCAAATAGGAGGAAAGATGAGGGGGTGGAGCCTCAGAATCCAAGGAAAAGGAGTACGGATCTAGGAGTTCACAGACTGGCAGTGGTATGTACCCACCGCTCATCATCCCTCTGGCACCCCCCCTTCTCTTACACTGCCTCTTACACTGTCATGACCTGCAGGCTTTTCCTTCAGATGGGAGTCAGTTGTTTGAAGGCCGTCTTTTTAGCTGTCTTTCTTGGAGTCTTTCTGAGCTCAGAAGTGATGCTGAGCTCTGCTGTCTTTCCACACATGGGTGAGGTTTTCCTTGGGTGGCTCATGCCCGTGAGCAGCTCACACTTGAAAATGTAGCAGATTCCAACACTGGCAAGGGGTGCCTAGTTTGGTCTATGCTGGTACTGTGAAATCCACACTTAATTGGGTAAGAAAACATCCATGTTGGGCTGAAGTCACTAGGGAGCAGTTGTGATTATAGATGACTTCCCTATAGTTTTCATGCCTGTATTTATACGCTGGCTGCATCTCCTTTAAGATTCTTCTGTTTTATTTTTAGGACCCAGATTAAATCCGAAGTCTGTACTTATATCATTGTATTTTCTTAAAATACCTTATAGAATTTAAATTTTACCTTTTTATAGACTTACTCTGTTTCAAATTAGTTTTTCTTCTTCAATATTCTGCATATAAGATGAACGTGGCTTGTTTCCAACCTCTGTTTTCATGGCACTAGATCCTGAAGGAATTGGCACAGGGTAGCCATTCCCTTAAAGAGAACAGTCAGGGCTAAGTTTCAGCTCAGAGGTAGAGTGCTTGCCTAGACAAATAGGAAGCCCTGGGTTTAATACCAGCACTGAAGAATTGAAGGAAAGAAAGAAAAAAGAAAAGGAGGGATTAAAAGAGAAAGGAAGGTGTGGGTAGGGTCATTCAGATTAGTCTAACAGAAGAAAAATCCTTCCTTGTCACCTGAACAGTCTGAAAACCTAGATAATTGTCTGGTGAGCTGTGTTGTATGAAGTCCTACATGTTTCATGCATGCCTGTGTTCTAGTTTCCACTGTAGTGTTATAATCAAAAACACCATGAACAAAGGCAACTTGAGAGGGAGAGGGCTTGTTTACCTTCCATGTCCTTATCTCAGTCAATTATGAACGAAACTCAGGTCCAGAAACTGGAGGCAGGAATGGAAACAGAAGCCATAAAGAAGTGCTGCTTACTGACTTGCTCCCCATGGCTTGCTCAGACTGTTCTCTTATATACCCCTGGACCACCAGCCCACGGGTGTACTACCCATAGTTGGCCAGGTCTCCCATATCCGTCATTAATCAAGAAAATGCCCCCACAGACTTGCTTCTAAGTCAGTCTTATGGTGGCATTTTCTCAATTAGTATTCCTCCCCACAAATGACCCCGGTTTGTGAGTTGACAAAATAAAAATTAGCTGGGATACATCCTGTCACTTAAGTCGGTTCAGATAATTATTCCTTAAGATGTGAGAGCACCTGGGAAAGAGAAATGGCAACAGATGGGAAGTGGTCTGTTGAATGAGACTCCATGGTGAGAGTCAGGGCAAAGGTGGAGGGGTGTGTATGTGTGTGTAGCAGGGGAGAGGCAGGTGGAGCGGGGGGGGGGGGGGGGGAGACAGAGATCTAGAAAGAGAGACAGATGCAGAGAGACTTGGTATTTCCTTCACTACAGAATCCAGTGTCTTTGTACATAACTGAAGTATTTCGGAAAATGACAGTCCCTGATGCCAGCTCTTCCCTGCCTATGTCAGAAACCATCAGCATTTAAATTCATGGAGCTTGTTATATCATCTTACACTCAGGGACTCACGAACAGAATTTCATCTCTAAAATAATCAAAAGCATTTTACCTGCATCTAGTCTTCCAAAAAAAAGCCATAGAATGAACAACGCCAGCAACAATTATTAAGCTAAATTGGCTTTATAAGAGTAAAAAAAAAAAAATCAATTTTGCCGGTTTGCATTCAGTGACTAATTTCCATATAAATGAGCTGACTCTGACTTCGCCTGGTCTGCAGAATGTGTCTATACCCTGGGTTAGTTTGTTTGTTTTTTTTAAAAAAAAGGTTGTTGTTAGTGGTGGTGATTTCTGTCTATGGTCCTGAGGATGAACCTCACTGAGAATATGTGAAGGTGTGTTGCTTATGCAATGCGGTTTCCTAATTATAATCATCTTTTTGTTTTGTTTTGTTTTTGGCAGTGTATCAGCTGCAGCAAGAGGCGCCTCGTCCCAAGAGGATCATTTGTCCCCGGGAGGTCGGTACTCAGCTCTTCTCGGTACACCTTGTTAAGTGTGATGAATTGGCAGCATGGGGCCAATGATGCTGGAGGGACTTCAGGTTTCCTGGGGGGTGATTTCTATTAACGTTTGGCACGCTGTCACCAAATTGAATATCTTCATAACTCTATCTTGAAATTGCGTGTTGTCTCAAACCTGGTTTTACAGACTGAGAATTGAATGTCTCACATTTTTAACAAATGCAGAGGCAAACGAAACTCTTTGTAAATGCCATAAGATATATGATTGTTCTGTCTTATAGTTGTTCTGCTTCTTTTAGTGATTATTTATTAGTATATATTAATTAAATGCAATGACGAGTGTCAGTGTGACATTTTATGGGTGTATATAGTGTAGTCACTGCCATACCCTGTTAGCCTCCGCACTTTTCTGTGAATACCCACACCCGATCCAGGCGCACGCTTTTCTGATTCGAGTCCACGAGATTGGACGACTGTCCTAAGGGTTTAAATACACGACACAAAGAGACCTGCTCATTCACCAAAGAGCAAATGGCCACTTTATTAAACTCAAGTCGGGTATTTATATCAGTGGGCAAGAGGGCAAAAGGGCACGGCCCCCTCCCAACAGGAGCAGTAGAAGGAGATGACAAGTGCCCGGTGCCTCAGGCCAGAAGCAGCTGGGGGAGCCAGGCAAGGCAGGCATATAGGGCCCACAGCTGGAACCTTGTTCACAGGTGGAATTACCATAACAAAAGAGAGCCAAGTTCTTTCTAAACTATACCCTCAGGCCAGTGCTAGTGCAGGAGAGCCAGGGAGCCAGAGGTCAAACAGCCCTGCAAATCGCCAGGAAGAAAAGGGAAAAAGACCTGGGTACCTACAATACCCCTCTTGTCCCCATCCACTAATCTCCTTCTTCTTAACAAGCCCCATCACCCACCCTGTGTGTGTGTATGGGGGGATGGTGTCCCGATTAGTTTCATTAGGGCTGGCTGCAGGAGCAAGGGCACTGTATGGAAAGCTACACACTGCTGAAGAGGATGGCTCTAGCTCTCCTTGCGACCATTAACTGTCCATAAATCCTCAGAGAGGGGTGGGGCCTCATGAACACCTTCTCCCTGGGTGACAGAGATTGACAGGCCTGATCTGTGCAGAGCCTGAGGTCTTGTTGGGACGTCACAGATGCTGCGAGGCCAAGGATCCCAGCAGTCATATCACACCCAGGAGATGATCACAACACTCTACTCCTTGTTCCTCCTCTTACATGCTTCCCGCCCTCTCTTCAGCGATGCTGCCTGAGCTGTGACGTTTTGTTTGTGGCATGGCATTCAACCATAATTTAAGTTGTGCAGTCTGACCTATTGGGAGCCGCTGCAGTTAATGGTCCCCACACTTTCAAAAACAAAACAAGCAAACAAATAAAACCAGCTCTCTAGCCAAAGATGACAACAGTGGCAATCCTTGGGTATACACAGTTATTTAGAAGGCAATTTGATGGTTAGTTACATCATGTCCACTGAGCAAAGCAAAACCTGTGGCTTACATTCTAGGGCTTTTGACCTCTTCGTCTGTGACATGTGACCAGGTGTAAAAGGTCATGTTTTGGCTTTTTTTTTTTTTTTAACGTGCTCAGTTATGAAATGTTTCCAGAAAACACATTACAAACCTGATAAATACATGGGTATTTTTGGTATCCATAGTTAGCACATCATTATGGTGTTATCATATTTACCTGAAATTTTTTAAATAATAAAGCTATTTGTGGAAAGTAACACTGAAATATGAAAATAGCTTTCAGAATATACTCATTCATAAAAATGCCACCAAGCTCACAGAGGTTTCTACTGCCCTCTTTTGTTTATCACTCGGGATACCAGCAAGATGAAGGTTCTGTGTATCTCCGTGAGCCTGTGGCTTACTGCATAAAGTTCGGGCTACTGTCTCCAGGAGGGCTACATGGCTTCTCTCTGACTCTGTATTCTTTCTCCCAGCATTCAGTTTAGTTTTCCTCGCCTCGCTAAGTTCTGCCCTGCTCTGCTATAGGCTCAAAGCAGTTTCTTTATTAACCAAGGATATTCACAGCATACAGAGGGGAATCCCACATCAGAATGGGACTGGGGAGACAGCTCAGTTGGTAGTGTTTGCTTTGCAAGTGTGTAGACCTGTGTTCAATACTCAGAACACAGGTGAAAGAGTACAGGCATGGTGGCATGTACTTGGAACCCCAACACTGAAGATGCAGAAATAAGAAAATGCCTGGCCGTTCCTGACTAGCCAGCCAACCTAGCCTACTTGGCAATTTCCAGACCATTGAAAGACCTTCTCTCAAAGAAAGATAGATGGATCTTGCATAATAGCACTACAGTTGCCCTCTGGACCACAAATACATATCTACATATGTGCATGTATGCATGTACCAATATACAGGAACACACATGAATGAATACAATCAAATAAAATCAAAATAATATTTAGAATGCAACTAAGAATTTAAATATAGTTAAGAGCTACACTGGAGGCAGTAACGGAGGCTCGCTAGCAAAGTTGAGCACCACCAACCCCAGTGCTTCAAATAGTGAATGTTTGGCCAGGTGGTGGCGGTTCATGTCTTTAATGCCAGCACTCGGGAAGCAGAGGCAGACAGATCTCTGTGAGTTTGAGGCCAGCCTAATCTACAGAGTGAGTTTCAGGACAGACTCCAAAGCCACATAGAGAAACCCTGCCTCAAACCCTCCCCCCACCAAAGACGGTGAAGGGTCATTGTTCAGTGTCAGAAGGTGTGGATGGAGCACTGTTAGTCCAGGTGTGGGAACTATGGCACAGAACGTGGCGTCTGTAAGTTTGAATATCTTAATAAACGAGAGCAAAGGTATGGCATAAGTGTGTAAGTGTGTGCGTTTAAGACTTTATCTGAGAGAGAGAAAGAGAGAGAGAGAGAGAGAGAGAGAGAGAGAGAGAGAGAGAGAGAACCTTGTATCTCAAAATCCTGGCAACCATGACAGCTTTCCGTTCTCATGTCACATAAACTTTCCAGATTTCAGGTGATGTTCTTCAGACATCTAGGATGTTGAGGATCTGCCATGCAGTCCTCACCACCAGCTGCATCCAAGGATACAGTACAGTGTGGTTTTAAGCCTTTCCTGCATTTTAAACCATGACTATGTCTTGACTAATGTGTCTCAAGCAGATGATTGCTGGCTGGTGTTTGATACACAGGTAGCTGACCCTTAGAAGTTCCATATTCCATGGCAGCATGAAACCTAGTGTGGAGTGAGTACCCATCAGGTCTATTTCCCCAGCAGGCTGCCTGGGGTCAGCCAGTAAGGCAGGTGTCAGGTATAATGGGTGGACTTTTCTGGGGAAACAGGTGCAGTTCTTAAAGGTGACAGTAAGCCCAACATTGGTTGTCCTCCAGTGTTATGTTAACTGTGAGTGTTTTCTGTCTAAATCCTGGGCCTCCCAGGACCTGGGCTCTTGGGATTGGAGGCCAAACTTCCTTTCCAATGCTCCTACTAAAGACATTGTTTAATTAAACATCACTTTGTCTTGTGATGAACCTGCCTTCTTGGGGGATCTTGCCCACTGAAGACAGAATGTCTTCTCAGTGGGCTGTGTGGGCAGAGAGTGAAGCTCTTGTAGCATGTTCACTAACTCGTAAGGTTTTTGTTTGAACAAGGAGTACTGGCTTCTGATACACATGTTTTTCTGGTTCAGCTCTCTACACAGCTGTACTCCCTCATTCTTCATCTTCAGCCCATCTCCTCCCACTCCTCTGCCCTGGTCCCTCACTGGCTGGCTCCACATCCTTGTACCCTTGTTCTCGCTCTCATTGTTTACATCATCCCAGGCTCTGCATCTCTCGGGATAGGAGCCTTGACTTCCCTGGATCAATACACACATGCGTGAATGCAAAATAAAGTCCAAAGTGACAGAGATAGGAGACACTGTGACTCCAGGATAAATTTCAGGTTAGCCTGACTTGTGAATCAATTGCAAGCCACAGTACCATTTCCTGATGGGTTTCACTGAGCTGCTAGGTGTAAGAGGAGCAGGCTGACTCCGTAGACAAGATCTGAAGAGCTAGCCAAGCCAGGAATGGGGAAGCTCAGCGTGGACTTCTCCTGACTTCTTGCAATGCCAATCACTTGCCATCTGTCTCAGAACCAAGCACATACTCTTCTGGAGTGATAGAAGCCAAACCCAAGGTTAGAGATCTGCTTTGCAGAGTGGCTAAAAATGTGACAAGTGTCTAGTGTTGTGTCTGACACGTAACAGGCACTCGGGTAAGGTGCGAGAGCCGAAGCAGGTTCACCATGGAGAAAAGGCTTTGAGACTGTCGCTGGGGACAGCCAGGACGATGGCAATAGTCGCTGAATGAGAGAGCAACGTGGCAGCAGTAAGGAACAGAGCAAGATGCCCAGGATGAAGAGACAGAAGGTGCCAGCAGCTGAACAACGGTGCCAATTATGCCAGTCAGAGTCAGCCACGGAAATAATGGTCCATTGCTTTCTCAAGATTCATCATTGTAAATTAATACTTAGCCAGCCACCACAGCACCTGGCATTCTATAGGCATTTCCGTAATACTTCTTGCCAAGAGACTCAAAACATTGTCTAGGAAACAAAAGTCTCGCTTGCCCTTTCTCTGAATTATCAATCAGTCACTTCATAAGTATTTATTAATGGCCAAGTGTATGTTTGAGTTCCGACAGGAACTGTGCAGAAAAATTTCTCCAAAATTTGTTTCTTTGTCTGAGACCTCTCTCCGGGACTTCCGAGACCTCTACCCGTCTGTCTGCTTGGCTTCTGAGGGTGTATTGTTCCAAGGTCACTAAAAGTCTCACTTTCAGAAAAGACTAGGCCATCTTCCCTCAATAACAGAGGTCCAGAAATCCTCACTCCCCCCCGCCCACCCCACCGCTTTCTCCTCCTTTCTTAGCAGGTGTGTCAGCTTTACTTCCAGATAGCTCTCCAATGGGTTCCAGGATCTCTGCCTGTCTGGGTCTCAGATTCAGTGTC